TCACGCGTTGATCACGAATCAACCACTGTTTACGATTACTTTGTAGCTTCATTAGATACACTTTAGAAGTTCTTTATTCAGCAACTGGAGCACACTTATTGCTCGGCCTCTCACCCTGATCCATTTTCGACACCAAATCTTTTACGGTTTCGCTTTCTACTCTTTTTCATGAGGTGGGCAGCTACAATGCAGACCGTTCAGCTTCGCTCCGTTTTCTACAATTTCTTCTCCGTTTAAAGAAATAAAGTGGCAGGCAGCGACGAAAAGTGTGGTTAGTAAAACTTTCACGTAATAAATGACAGCTTCTTCTACCTACTGCGCAAGAAGTCGAAATTTATTACAAAATGTTCCTTACGAGACACGCAGGATTGTTATTGGTAAACAAATTGGGAAATGAATTAAGTAAGGCATTGTTTCCCAAAAAGTTGATACCGAATTTAAAGACAAGACATTTTAAAAACTTTTTCTAGGCGTAATCAGTCCCGTTAATGTGGAATTGGTAGTAAAGACTCCAAACCATTGATGCATATTGATGAAAAATGATAATAATTAGTATACAGGGTGTTCCTGAATGATCTGCGAATATTTAAGGGTGTGAATCTACATAAAAAATTAATGTTAGTTTGCTTTATAAACTGTTCTAGTCCAAAAATGTTTCCTTACAAAAACTCGGGGTGTTGAAGTTTTAGGAAAAAAATGGAAATTAATTAATATTTTCAGAACCGCTTCAGATATTTCACTGATATTTAGTACGTAGTGAAAGTTAATACAGTTGCATGTTTTTTATTGCAAAAATAACTTTTAGCTTTGACAATGGCATGCGTACGGGTATTGACTTCGATATTTTTTTAGAAAAAATGGTTTGCCATCAAGTTGTTTGGAGAATTTTAGTGGATCTTTTGTTATATCCTTACCATATTTTAAGAGCACAGGCATTACTTCCCATTGATTTTCCAAGGCGTGTGACCTTTATTCAGTGGTATATTCAAAAAAATTACACAAAGTCCGAAATTTGAATCATTGATTCTGTTCACGGACGAAACTAATTTTTCTGGAAATGCCATTCAGAATTTCCACAATAATCATTTGTGGGCAGAAGAAAAGCCTTATGCCGTAACCGAAACCCATTTCCAACACCAATTTTCGGTTGCACCAGCGCATTTCAGTTCGTAATTTTATACTAAGTGACATATAAATCCGAACACCCAGTTTAAATGGTTTTATTTTAATAGAAGTTGGTGAATGTATTTATCTTACTGTAAATAACAAGTAAAACATTTTCAGCCTTATCAGTTGGACATTCCGGTTTTTATACTGCTTTTTTTAATTCACTAACGCTCTAAAAATGAATATTTCAGCCGCAGTAAAGATTCAACGTTGGGGGATTTTGGTTCTTGACATCCTTTACGATCGGTTACGATGCCTAGAGTACGGAGACCTGTACGATTTCGTCAACTTAGTGAGTTTGATAGGGGCCGTATAGTGGGACTTCGGGAAGCTGGACTTTCTTTTCGGGCAATTGCAGTTAGAGTGCAAAGAAGTGTAGACACTGTGGTTAGGTGTTGTCAGGCATGGCTTCGAGAAGGCCGTACGCAAAGAGCAAGGGGCACTGGACGCCGCCGTAGAACAACAGACCGTGAATATCGCCGCCTAAGATTATTGGCCTTAAGGGACCGTTTCTCCACTACCAGGTCCATTGCAAATGAATGGTTTGCAGAACACGGAATACCTATTGGCATGCGAAGTGTTTACCGACGAATGAGAAGTTTTGGCTTGTTTTCATACCGGCCACACTGGGTCCTCCCTTTAACTCGAGAACACCGACGTAATCGCCTTGGGTGGTGCAGACAACGGAACAGTATTGTCTTTAGTGACGAGTCTTGATTTTATTTAGGCATGCACGATGGTCGTGCCAGGGTTAGAAGGCGACGTGGTGAAAGGAGGAATCCACAGTTTTTTGTTGAAAGACATGTTCATCACACTGTTGGAGTTATGGTTTGGGGTGCTATAGCTTATGGTTCCAGGTCACTTTTAATCTTCATCAGAGGTAACATGAACACGCAGCGTTATATCCACGAAGTTCTAGAACCCCATCTTTTACCCTATCTTGACACCCTGGCAGATCCAACTTTCCAACAAGATAATGCCCTACCACATGTTGCAAGAGTCACAATAGACTTCTTTCAACATAATGATGTCACATTGTTACCATGGCCACCAAGATCTCCCGACTTATCCCCAATTGAGCACGTGTGGGATATGGGGATTGCTCAATTTGCAACGTCCTCCTCAGACTCTAGAAGCACTTCGAGAGGAGTTGGTGGTTGCCTGGAATGAGATACCACCGGAGGACATTGACCACCTGATCAGAAGCATGCCTAGGCGTGTTGGAGAATGCGTAGCACATCAGGGTGCATCCACACATTATTAAAGGTCAAAGGGCTTTAAAGCAGTGCAATCATTTTGAAATTTTTAGCAATTACTTATTATGCTTCATTAAGTACTTATACAAAATTTTATTAAAATAAAACCATTTGAACTGGGTGTTCGGATTTATATGTCAGTATATTTACAAACTGTTTATCCAAATCGTTGGATTGGCCGCGGTGGACCCCAAGAATGGCCACCAAGGTCGCCAGACCTCAACAGCTTAGATTTCTTTTTTGGGGGGCTATCTTAAGACACTAGTGTACACAAGTCCCATTAACACTGTAGAGGAATTAAAAGAAAGAATAGTTTCAGCTTGTGATAGAATAAAAAACACTCCAGCGATATTTCAAGAGTGGACAATTCAATTCGAATAAAAAGTCAATTAAGCAAACCTGTCTAACCACTCGGAATTGCTTGGTATGTAAACTTTTCAATAATATCCCAGATAAGGTAAAGTCGCATGTAAACGCAAAGTCGTTCAAATAAAATTTGAAATGGTTTTTGATTGATCAGTATTTTAATAGTATTGGAGTCCTTGAGGTGTTTTCAATGTTTCAATTGTGAAAATTTGTGATATGGTTTTAGTTTTAAGTTTGTATTGACCATCACAAGTTTCATAACACCTACAGAAAAATAAAATAATTTGGTTTAATTTATGTACTCAATTTGCGACCAAGAACTTGCCTTTTATAAAAGCCTGTTAAAATACAGGGTGTCCGCAAAGTTGGGGTTTTCCTGTACACGACGTGTAGATCTTGAAAACATAAACAATTTTTCTTAGTACCATATACACCAATGTCTTAAGGGAACCGAGATAAAGGGCTCTGCAACGTCAAAAATATCTGAATACCATCCTGTAGCCGCGACTCGCGACATCCCCGAGTGGTACTAGGACACTAGCTCAACCCGACGACAGAGCTGGGTCGGGGTCAGTGTGTCAGGTCAGTATGCAACCTTCAACCGACGGTTACAGTCACGCGTGTAGAGGTAAACGAACCCGTATAACCGATTGCGTTTTAAAAAACAACAAGCACTAGAGACGTGGCTAGAGAAATGCAAGTATCAAAAACTAAAGTGTGTCAAACGCTGCGTGAAGAGGGGCTGCATCCGTTTCACGTCCAACGTGTACAAGCCCTTCAACCTGACGATTTTCCAGCAAGAGTGCGGTTTTGTGAGTGGTTGTTGCATCAACATGACAATAATCCGGGCTTTTTTAAGTGCATATTGCACGCGTAATGGGGTGAATAACTTTCGCAACACTCATTTTCAACAAACATTTTCGGTGAATGTTTAGGCTGGCATGGTGAACGGTATACTCATTGGACCATTTACTCTCCCAAATCGATTGGACGGGATGCAACACCTAGACTTTTTACGCAACATTTTGCCTTCCTTGTTAGAAGATGTGCCATTAAGTGTAAGACAATCAATGTGGTTTCTGCACGATGGTCATATTTGTTACCTGTGTTCGTGGTCTGCACCACCGCCGGCGTCTGCTCGGTAGCGCATCAGCTGATTTCATTTTCTGTTGGAGCGGTATGATTTCGGGCAGAGACGTACTTAGCCCTTCTCGTCAACTGGAGAGTGAGTACTTTTTCCTTTATTTTTTTTTACTTGGTCGCCCTCGTTTCACTACACATTACCTTTGTTATTTCAAGGGTAGTTGTTTCTGAAAAGGAAAACCCCAACTTTGCGGACACCCTGTATTTTTTCAGAAATACTGAGGCAGTCTAAGCTCGATTTTGTGCTGTTTATAAAATATGAGAATAAGCTTTATTACAACAAAGTTTCATGCATTCATGAATCATGTCTCAGGATATTAATTTTCGGCTATTTTTAGCAACTCATGGATTTGTAAATATTTGTCATTATTGTTCCGAGCCTTTATAGAAGGTCTTGGGGGAAATTTTACACCATCCTCGTTCGTTCCGCTGTAGGAGTTCCGGACATTGTTACGACTTCCGGAAAGCAAATTAGGCGTTTTGCAAGTTAACAAAAATGAACGGAGAGTCTGTCCTTCAGTAAAGTTGTACCTTAACTTTGTAAGGCGTTACGTTGCGATGATTCCACACAGCACCTTTAACGACCTGATGGATTTGAATTTCATAAACAATATATCAAATACATGTTTAGGAATAAATTTCGACATTTAAGTGTCTATATTAAAGAACGGATGGTGTATCAACTTATTCGAAGACGTTTCTCCATTTCAAACTTGCAGCTATTTCAGCTAAATATCCTCAACTTACGCTTTTTGCTCTGAATCGAATTATTCTCGAAATAACTTAGATCGATCCTTGATCCGTGTGCGAAGTTTCAAATTAATCAAAGTTCTGACAATTGGTGAAAATTATGCTCACAGATATGCCTTTATAAACTAAACATGACGAAACTGTTTACTTCTAAAACAATTTATTTTCTCAAAAATCATTTTAGATACACTCTAGTCGTAAAAAATACATATTTCACTTACACCTATAACTAATAGAACATCTGAACAAATAAACAATGTGCGAATAAATGCGCGAAGTTAACAAAGCAACAATTGAAAGATTACCATTGGTTATTACGGCTGAAATTCTTTGGGGCATAATGTTAACCAAGTTTTGGCAAAAACTTGGTGTAAAACAATCCCATATTTCTTGTAGCTTTTGTCTCAGTTCGGTGATTGTACGAGCAGGATGTTGTCGTAGAACCTTTTTCACCTCGGGCCACAAAGTTTCAATAGGTGACAGATCCGGACTGCTAGAAACCCATTTCAAAAGTGGTACATTATTTTCTTCCATCCAATTTATAGCCTTTTTTGAGGTATGGCACGCTGCACCATCTTGCTGAAACACAAAATCTTGGCCGGATGTCAAACATTCTTCCATCACTGGTAAAAGCGATTCTTCTAAAATTGCCAAATATTTGTCTGTATCCACATTTCCTTCAATAAAATGAAGTTTTCCTACTCCTTTTGATGACATACTGCAATTTCTGAGTTTGATTTCCCAAAATTGAATAATTTAATTACACTGGACAACAAATTTTAGTTTTCTAATTGTATCTTGTGGGAAAAGTGCACCTCTTTGTTAATTTTGGGGCGCTGAATCCAAAAATGACAATGAAATAAAAAAATTAGTTGCGGTTTAGAAAAAAAACTTTTTATTTTTAAGGATATATTAAAAAAAGTAACAAGATTCATATACTTATAAGAATCACTATATGCGCTGTCTTTTTGCTGTTCTTTTATGGATCGTTTCTGGAGCATCTCTACCAAGAGTCCAACAGTAGTCTGCAAGCATGGAAGGATTCCACTTTCCCTGGTACCTTTTTTCCATTGTTGAAATATCCTGATGAAAACGTTCGCCGTGCTCATCACTTACGGCTCCGCAATTGTCAGGAAAAAAGTCCAGGTGTGAGTGTAGGAAATGTATCTTAAGAGACATATTACAGCCTATCTTTTGACACGATGACAGCATATTTTTGACAAGGGTTTTATAGTTGTCAGCTTTTCTATTTCCCAAGAAATTAGTGACCACCAGACGGAAATCATTCCAAGCAGTTTTTTCAATACCTGTTAAAGTGTTTTCAAACTGTGTATCTTTCAAATATTTCGAATCTGTGGCCCAACAAAAATACCTTCTTTAACCTTTGTCTCACTTAGTCTTGGAAATTTCTGACGCAGGTATTGAAAAGCTGACCCATCTCTATCTAATGCCTTGACAAAGTTTTTCATTAGGCCCAACTTGATATGCAGTGGTGGTAATAAAATTTTTTTCGAATCTACTAATGGCATATGCTGTACATTTTTTTGACCTGGCTCTAGGAATTGACGAACAGCCCAGTTTTGTCTGGTGTAATGAAGTGCCTTTGCCCGACTGTCCCATTCACACAAAAAACAGCAAAACTTTGTGTAGTCTAGCTGCAGCCCAAGTAAAAGTGCAACTACTTTCAAATCGCCACAAATATGCCATTGGTGCTCATCGTATTTTATGCATGTCAATAGGTACTTCATATTGTCATATGATTCCTTCATGTGAACTGCATACCCTACAGGAAGAGATGGTAAAATATTTCCAATATGCACTGTCTTTAAACTCAATGTTGAACTGTCTATAAACAATCTCCATTCATCTGGGTTATAGTTTATATTTAAAGCCTCCAGTAAGCCGTTAATGTTACTGCAGAAAACCAAGTTATTCTCCATATTGAAAAATGGTTCTGAGTCTTTGTGGCGTTTACGAAAAACACATACCGAAACATCGTCTTCTAACAAGTTCCACTGCTGCAGTCTTGATCCAAGTAACTCTGCCTTACATTTTGGAAGTTCTAAATCTCTTACAAGATCATTTAATTCTGACTGTGTTATTTTGTGCGGTTGGTGGCATGACGTGCTCGGTATATAATCAGGATCTCTTGACGTTGATGGCATATCTTCTTCCTGACGAATCACTCGATCGCCATGATCTGATTCGTTTTCTGATTCGCAAGTGTAGGATTCTGGGGGTTTTGGAATAGGATTTTCGTCACTGTGAGGCACAAGTCTCATCGCAGATAGTATGTTTGGGTAGTTAATAACCGATTTTTTTTTCTTGGACATACCTGTGGCTTGTCCAACACAAGGTACCATGCAAAAGTAACAATCATTAATATGATTTGTAGGCTCTCTCCAAACCATTGGGACAGCAAAGCGCATAGACCGTTTTTTGCCATTTAACCAGCTCCTCAGACTTGAAGCACATGTATTACAGCAGATGTGGGGTGCCCACTGTTTGTCTTGATCACCTAGTTTACAACCGAAATGAAGTTGATATGCCTTTGTTATTAGTGGAGTAATAGACCGTCTCTGAGACGCAAAAGTCACATCACCACACACGTAACAAAACTGATCTGGATTGTTTACACACTTTCGAGACATCTTGCATGAACGCTGTCAGCCAACTGAGGAAAAAATGGCTAATATAAAACAATATAATGTACACGTATGTATAACGTAATACAAGCATGCCGATTACATCATCTTTCCTTGCCGAATATAAAAATGTAGCACGTGCATTCTTGTGAATTACAGTATATTAACACTGTCACAGCAGGAACACATATAATTACCGTATCTCTAAAACTTGAACTAATATTGAAAAAATAAGTTTCATTCCGGTTATAGCACATTAAAAATAGTAATATTTTATTGATTTTATTTAGGATATTTTTTGGCTGTTGATCAGTGTTATCAGTAACCGAATTTTCTCACTAATACACTTTCCCCTACCATTTTGAAAACCTTAACTACCCAAAACTATTTTAAACGTATTCTGAGAGCTGTGGTTAATAAAAACAATTGTCATGGCTTTTATTTTTCACAGCTACCTATGCGTTATAGACTTCTTTTGCATTGAAATGAAAATAGGTTGATATGCTGTAATTGCAACATGTGTTATTTTCATGCTGCAAATTTGATTAGGGAGTGATAAAGTTGGTGTTTTCTACTATATTCATTGTTAATATTTTAAACCTATAACACCCTGCTACATTTTTATTATTTGTGTTTGATAAGAAAAAAACTAAGATTTCAATAGTTGGGCCAACTGAAGTGGGAAGGGGCTCGTATAGAAGCCTGTTAAAAAGAGATAAAGATGAACGTCTACTTATCGTCACCGAAACTAGTAGCTACTAACTACAACAATTTACCATACACCAATCTGCGACGAAAGAAACGAACGTTATCATTCTTTAGCAACCATTAATTTTGTTTTGTTTGTTCTATATTCTTTTCAATAAAGCTTTTTTGGTTCATTGTTTTTCCTGTCTCAATTAAAAGAATACTTAGAAATAAATCTGTATTTGAGCTATTGACGTTACAAAATCACCTTTTCTCATGTGTGTAATAAATTTCCTGTTAAGGTAGTTCTCATATTAGAAGAGATCGTAAAATCTGAGATAGGCATTTTGCTGGTTAATCAACCCTTAGATCTTACATGAAAAATGTTTAAAATAATAAGGAGAATCTCAGAAATAAAAAGGATTTTTCGTTAAAAAAATATTTGGTCTGCTTTCACTTTTATACGGGGTGCTAGGGAAATAATATTCGCAACTCGCAGAGGTGATTCTTTGCGTTTTTCTAAGCAAAAAAGTTCATATAACCTATGTCCGAACATCAACCGTTTCGGAGCAAAAAAATTCTTTTTGGTCATGAAATAAATTTATTTTGCACTTTAATAATTTAAATTCATATGACAAATAGAGTAAAATGTATCAATAGATCTATTTACATATTAATTAACTGTCTCTAACAAGATAATTTACTTCCTTATTAAATACAATTTTCCGAAGAAAAACAGACAAACAAAATCCCTTACACAACTGGCAACGTCGTACTCCGCCTGCGCTGCATGTATCATCGCGTGTTGTTGTGATTACTAAAGCATCCCACAAACCGGCGCGAAATAATCGCGGCGAAGTATTCGCAACGAAATTCAGAGCGAAATTCGCAATCTGTTTCGCCTGTTTATTCATACCAAAGCGACTTATTCGCTCCGCGAACGTGAAGGTTTCGACAGGTTGCGTACATTTTATTTTTGCCTTTTGCAATGAGCTCGTCTTCAGAAGAAGAGGAGGCACTTCTATTTCTTGCTTTAGAAGAGGAACAAAATGCACGGTAAGTTATGTTTATTTAACGCCATTTGATAGTTGGGTATGTATTAAGTTTAACGAAGTACATAAAACAAATATTTTCAATTTTGTTTAGGAAACGAAGGAAGTGGGTACATGATATTAACTTGGAACGAAATAAATTTGGGGAATACCATACCTTGATGCCACAACTTCGGCTGGATGAACAGCGCTTTTACGTATATTTTAGAATGACTCCAGAGTGTTTCGATGAAATATTGAACTTGGTGAAAGATGAAATATGAAAATCTGACACAAATTATCGTGAAGATATTTCGCCAGAAGAACGACTTGCTATTACACTCAGGTAAAAAAATTATATGTATTAAAATTAGTAGGCTTATCGAATACGAAAACTTCAGGGATCGTGAAATAAATATTTTATTGTAATAATTGGACTACATGTTGCCACTAGGATTAAATGTTGCTAAATAATTCGAGGCAGAATTTGCCTCCTTTGTTGGGTATATTATTGGAGTAAACCCAGTGCCGCTTGGGAAAGACGACATACTACTATCATACATACTTGCAGAATTCTGGGTAGACGCTGAACACATTTCTTCAATATGTTCAAATTCTTCGTGCGCTATTAATTCGGCTATTTTTAGTTTTATTCGGGCTTGACGCTTTAAGGGAAGTGTTTTCACAGTCTGTGCATGTGCCAAGAAAAGTGAATCAATGACCTCGTTCTCTTTTTTAGGTTTTTTATCTTCAAAATAATTAATGAGCTGTTGTACAGACGAAGATGGTGGTTCATAGCGTTTTCTGCTCGTTTTATATTTTGGTGTAGTTGCAGTCTGCGGAAAGGTGTGCCCTGGAGTAGTCACTGCTGTAGTGTTCAATGAAGAAGGTGGTGCTGTCTGTGTTGCCGAGGCGTTCTGTGCATCTTCTGCATCTACATCAGCATTTTCATCTTCTCCATGGCCGCGGTCTTCCAAATTTTCGGTTTCTACATTTCCAGCCCTTTCCTGATATATATATTTGAGTTAAATTCGGCAGTCTCATAATGTATGACGTCAATATCTTTCACATTAGACGACGTTTTGGCAAATGCCAAAAAAGGACGGAAAAATTCCATGTAGTCAACCCACTGCCATTTTTTTATGTTGCCCACTGCTTGGCCGGTTTTTGATTTGGTAGATTTTATATATTTTGCAAATGTGTCTCTGATATTCTTCCACCTTTTTTTTTACTTCATCACCTAAAAAC